GGGAAAGAGCACATCAGTGGTAGACTGAGGTTACTGAAGACAACCATTCACCCAGAAGAATTGGTCTACAGAGCTGCCTGAGCACAGCATAGCAGAGCAGGGTCCATCTATCCTAGTCCTGTTTCAATTCCCTGTGAAGCATGCCAGATGCACCTTGTTCATGGTGCACGTACCTTGTCTACACATATACGTAAACTGAGGTACACAGTAACCCTTCTCTCTATAGACAAGGCTCAGGTGCAGCCTTGAGGCTCCCACTCTTCACTCAGACACATGCCTATTGCAGCACATGCAGGGCTGGCCATAAATCACTGTGAGCCCTGGGATTTAAAGTGAAGGGGGTGGTCATGCACTCTGCTGCTAAGCAGTGACCTTCCCACATCAAAGACCAGAACTGTAGGCAAAACACAATGCCCCAGCCAGGATGCAGCAAGAACCATGCATGGTACAGTAGCTAATCCAGTTCCTGGTACTTTCCCTTCCCAAGCTACAGACCTGTTCCTGCTCAGATTAGCACATGTACTCTGGGATTGAAGGAAAGTTATACACTTCCTCAGTAAGATCTGGTTTCCCAGTTTTAACCTGGCAAACTTATAAAGCACATATAAACTCCAGGTCATCAGGAAGCACCAGCCTGGGTTGTCATATGCCAATATGGGTGGCTTTGAGCCTATACCCAGCTTGCAAAGGGCTGTATAAAACAGCTGGACATGAGTCCACTGAGAGATCCTTGCTATAACTGAAGCAGCTAAGTGCCTAGGCATGCAGGAGGTACAAGCCCAGCCTCTCCCCAGACACTCTTCCCATCACTTAGAGTCATAAGAACAACATAAGAATCAGCATGTACTAGATCAGACCATAGATCCATCTAGCCCAGCATCCTGTGTCACACAGAGGCAGAGAGCAGATATTGAAAGGGACAGTGAACTGGGTATGACCAGGATCTTGCTCAGGATCCTGTTTCAGACCCTCTCCAGCTCTGTGCAAACAGATTCTTAACCATTTATATTGCTGTATACTAGGGGTGCACCAACAGAGATTTTTGGGGCCAATACCAATAGCCGATTTTTAAAGAGGCATATTGGCCGATACCGATCCAATTTCTGATATGCAGCCCAACAGCTTGAAGAGCAGTGTCCGGCTGGTAAGTCTGTTGTGGTGGAAGGGGAGGGGGGAGGGAAGGGGTTTGGAGGGCAGATCGAGGTGCCTGCAGTGAGGAAGGGAGTGGGATGGGGCCAGGGTGGGTGCTCCTTAAAATGAGAACATCTGCATTTTACCACATTTTACTGTGGCAAACAGAAAACCTGGATCCCTGCTCATCAAGGTCCACTGAATAGATTATAAAAAGATACTGTGGAGAAAAATGAGCTCCTTTTTACAAAGTTCTGGCAGGTTAATGGTGCTGGGAGTCCAGAATCTCTCCAAAGCTCCATCAGAATTCCCTTATCACACTCTTCATACATAAAAGCTACCATCCTAATGCATAGGTCAGGCAGCCTGTGCCTCATTTACCTCCAGTGGTGGCCAGCTGGGACCTACTGGGATCTGCACAGACTTGGAGCCCTTCAGGTCCAACGTTGTAGCAATCAAGTTTGGCCTACCAATGCCAGATCTCTGCAGGGCATTCCCTGTGTTTCCATTACTGTAGCTCTCTTGAAACAAGGGGTTAGAGAGTCCAGCAGGAGTGCTGGTGTTGGTTACGACTCTTCTGAAACAGACACAAACACAGCACAAAATCAATCAGATTGTCACGGATTCACCTTGAGGAAAAGTCCTCTCCTTTTCCGATAGGCTGTGTTCAGCCTGAATGGCTATGATGGCATCTGAACAGCAAGGTGCAGAGTATCTATGCTTATTGACTCTTTACCTGAGTCCTTATGTTGCCCTGCTCAAGAGAATAAACCAGCCTCTGCAAACTGGCCTTTCATTTCAGCTGAGGTATCAGAAGAGGGAGGCAAGGAGATCTTGTGGCATACTGGTGTGTAGTGCCAAGGCTGAGAGCTGTGTGAGGTTTGAAGTGTAACTCTCACAGACTCAAAATTGCTAATGTGACTGAATCCATCAGTTTTGCCAGCATGGTGAGAAGGCTGGGAATAAGACCAAGCAGGCTTAGAACCATTGCTGGTGTAAATCAGCACAGCCTTAGTGTCCCAGAGTACCCAAAGATCAGGCCTTTCCAAGTCCATATATGCCACGGTGAAAGTCTCCTATAGCAACTCAAATTCAACTGCAAGGAACAGCTTGGTTTTCTGTTAAACTACCTCAAGTGGAAGGAATCTCTGATCTAGAAAAGCAGGATGGTGATCTATTCCTGGCTCTGCGTCTGACTGGCCTTCACATCCCTTTTCTGTGCCTCACTTTCCACGTCTGTATATAGGGTCAGTAATACCCATTAGCTAAAATGACCCTTGGCTGGAAGTGGGGTAGAAATGTTCAGTACCATTTAGGCCTGCGGATCAGGCTCACAGCTTGACTGCAGGAAAGGTAGAATATTCGACACTAGCTGTAGCTCTCCCCCTTTAAGTGGAATGCTCTGCTACTTTAACCTGTTATGGGAAGCTGAGTTTCATACTCACCTGAATCAGGCTGTAGTTCAGCAGTGCACTGACTTTTACCATATGCTTAAACTAGCTTCAAGCTTTAGCTCTAACTCACTGAGTATACGGATACTTAGAGTTAAGCATATGCAAGTGTGCTTGCAGAATCAAAATCTAAGTCACCCCAGTTCAAGCAATCTATTGGGTGTTAGGGCCTGCTTACATGTTTAGAAGGAAATATTATTTTAAATTATGAAAACTGTTGACCCTGGGTACCTACGATTATCACCTAACAGTTTGTCTGTCTGACCACCTAGTTGGCAGCCTCTTCTTTAGCATACTCTGTTTTCTGGCCCCTTTGAATACTGCTGCTCATCAATAGAGGGTGTAGTGAGACAGATGTAATGATACCAACTCAACTCCTGCCAGAAGCACACTC